AGTCTTACTGAATTTCAAGTTTAGCAAATTATTATTAAAGAATTTAGCTTTATAAATCTGACATCTCATATAAGGGAAAAATTGCTATTTTAAAGAATGGTTGCCAAATTTTTTGAACTGAATGAAATGAACTGCTGGTGTAATATTCTGTTGTATCCTTTGTCGATCCCTTTTGAACATTCATACCCAATTTCAAGTCTAACAAATCAATATTAAAGAATTTAGCTTTTAAAATCTTTCACCTCATATTGGGCAATAATGGCTATTTTAGGCAATGGTCTTCAAATTTTTTTGAACTGAATGAAATGAACTGCTGGTGTAATATTCTGTTAAATCCTATGTCAATCCCTTTTGAACACTCATACTGAATTTCAAGTCTAGCAAATCAATATTAAAGAATTTAACTTTCAATGTCTGACATCTCATATAAGGGAAAAATTGCTACTTTGGACAATTGGTTTCAAATTTTTTGACATGAATGAAATAAACTGCTGGTGTAATATTCTGTTGTATCCTTTGCCAATGTCTTCTGAACATTCTTGCTGAATTTCAAGTTCAGCAAATCAATATTAAGAATTTAGCTTTCAACATGTGACATCTCATAGAAGGGAAAAATTGCTACTTTGGACAATTGGTTTCAAATTTTTGACCTGAATGATATAAACTGCTGGTCTAATATTCCGTTGTATGCTTTGTGAATCCCTTCTGAACATTCTTACTGAATTTGAAGTTCAGGAAATCAATATTAAAGAATTTATTGTTTAAAATTTTTCACCTCATATTGGGCAATAATGGCAATTTTAGACAATGGTCTTCAAATTTTTTGAACTGAATGAAATGAATTGCTGATGTAATATTCTGTTGTATCCTTTGTCAATCTCTTTTGAACATTCATACTGAATTTCAAATCTATCAAATCAATATTAAAGAATTTAGCTTTCAATGTCTGACATCTCATATAAAGGAAAAATTGCTATTTTAGACAATGGTTTTCAAATTTTTTGAACTGAATGAAATGAACTTCTGGTCTAATATTCTGTTGTATCTTTTGCCAATCTCTTCTGAACATTCTTACTGAATTTCAAGTTTAGCAAATTATTATTAAAGAATTTAGCTTTATAAATCTGACATCTCAGATACAGGAAAAATTGTTATTTTAAAGAATGGTTTCCAAATTTTTTGAACAGAATGGAATGAACTGCTGGTGTAATATTCTGTTGTGTCCTTTGTCAATCCCTTTTGAACATTCATACTGAATTTCAAGTCTAGCAAATCAATATTAAAGAATTTAGCTTTTAAAATCTTTCACCTCATATTGGGCAATAATTAACACTTATTTACTGCGACCGAAGGAAACATTATGTTTTTTGGACCCGAGACCTGTCGATATTTCACGAGGCGAAGCCGAGTGAAATATCGACGGTCGAGGGTCCACTAAACATAATGTTTTCTGAGGTCGCAGTAAATAAGTTTTTTATTATATACCACTTGTCAAAGAAAAACTAAAAAACGAAGTAAACAACGAAATGTTTATTTATAAAACATGTAATTTCAAATAAAGAAACAATTAAGTACACGCAAAGTTTTATAAATGCTTACGAGTGCAGCACGTGATTAAAGTTGTTATTTCCCATGAAATAATGCATTGTTTCCCCCTGCTGGGGGTCGCACGGGCGACATAAAAATTTCGTCACTCTCACGTGATTCGCTCTCGACCAATGAAACGCTACGAACACCAAACTTTGACAAGTGGTTTATAATAATTGCTATTTTAGACAATGGTCTTCAAATTTTTTTGAACTGAATGAAATGAACTGCTGGTGTAATATTCTGTTAAATCCTATGTCAATCCCTTTTGAACACTCATACTGAATTTCAAGTCTAGCAAATCAATATTAAAGAATTTAACTTTCAATGTCTGACATCTCATATAAGGGAAAAATTGCTACTTTGGACAATTGGTTTCAAATTTTTTGACCTCAATGAAATGAACTGCTGGTCTAATATTCTGTTGTATGCTTTGTCAATCCCTTCTGAACATTCTTACTGAATTTGAAGTTCAGGAAATCAATATTAAAGACTTTATCGTTTAAAATCTTTCACCTCATATTGGGCAATAATGGCAATTTTAGACAATGGTCTTCAAATTTTTTTGAACTGAATGAAATGAATTGCAGATGTAATATTCTGTTGTATCCTTTGTCAATCTCTTTTGAACATTCATACTGAATTTCAAGTCTAGCAAATCAATATTAAAGAATTTAACTTTCAAAATCTGACACCTCATACGAGGGAACAATTTATATTTTGGACAATTGTTTTGAATTTTTTTGAACTCAATGAAATGAATTGCTGGTGTAATATTCTGTTGTATCCTTTCTCAATCCCTTTTGAACATTCATACTGAATTTCAAGTTTAGCAAATCAATATTAAAGAATTTAGCTTTCAATATCTGACATCTCATATAAAGGAAAAATTGCTTTTTTTAGACAATGGTTTCCAAATTTTTTCAACTGAATGAAATGAACTGCTGGTGTAATATTCTGTTGTATCTTTTGTCAATACCTTCTCAACATTCTTACTGAATTTCAGGTCTAGGAAATCAATATTAAAGAATTTAGCTTTTAAAATCTTTCACCTCATGTTGGGCAATAATGGCTATTTTAGACAATGGTTTTCAAATTTTTTGAACTGAATGAAATGAATTGCTGGTTTAATATCCTGTTGTATCCTTTGTCTATCTCTTCTTAACATTCGTAGTGAATTTCAAGTTCAGCAAATCAATATTAAAGAATTTAGCTTTCAAAACCCAACACCTCATATAAGGGAAAAATTGCTATTTTCGACAATTGTTTTCACATCTTTTGAACTAAGTGAAATGAACTGCTGGTCTAATATTTTGTTGCATCCTTTGCCAATCTGTTCTGCACATTGTTACTGAATTTCAAGTTCAGCAAATCAATATTAAAGAATTTATACTTCAAAATCTGACATCTCATATCAGGGAAAAATTGCTATTTTGGACAATTGGTTTCAAATTTTTTGACCTGAATGAAATAAACTGCTGGTGTAATATTCTGTTGTATCCTTTGCAATTCCCTTCTGAACATTCATACGGAATTTCAAGTCTAGCAAATCAATGTTAAAGAATTTAGCTTTCAAAATCTGACAACTCATATAAGGGAAAAATTGCTGTTTTAGACAATGGTTTTCAAATTTTTTGAACTGAATGAAATGAACTGCTGGTCTAATATTCTGTTGTATCCTTTGTCAATACCTTCTGAACATTTTTACTGAATTTCAGTTATAGGAAATCAATATTAAAGAATTTATACTTCAAAATCTGACATCTCATATCAGGGAAAAATTGCTATTTTGGACAATTGGTTTCAAATTTTTTGACCTGAATGAAATAAACTGCTGGTGTAATATTCTGTTGTATCCTTTGCAATTCCCTTCTGAACATTCATACGGAATTTCAAGTCTAGCAAATCAATGTTAAAGAATATAGCTTTCAAAATCTGACAACTCATATAAGGGAAAAATTGCTGTTTTAGACAAAGGTTTTCAAATTTTTTGAACTGAATGAAATGAACTGCTGGTCTAATATTCTGTTGTATCCTTTGTCAATACCTTCTGAACATTTTTACTGAATTTCAGTTATAGGAAATCAATATTAAAGAATTTAGCTTTCAAAATCAGACATCTCATATAAGGGAAAAATTGCTACTTTGGACAATTGTTTTCACATCTTTTGAACTTAATGAAATGAACTGCTGGTCTAATAATCTCTTGTATCCTTTGTCAATCCCTTTCTAACATTCATACTGAATTTCAAGTTTAGCAAATCAATATTAAAGAATTTAGCTTTCAATGTCTGACATCTCATATAAGGGAAAAATGGCTATTTTGGACAATGGTTTCCAAATTTTTTGAACTGAATGAAATGAACTGCTGGTGTAATATTCTGTTGTATCCTTTGCAATTCCCTTCTGAACATTCATACGGAATTTCAAGTCTAGCAAATCAATATTAAAGAATTTAGCTTTCAAAATCTGACAACTCATATAAGGGAAAAATTGCTATTTTAGAGAATGGTTTTCAAATTTTTTGAACTGAATGAAATGAACTGCTGGTCTAATATTCTGTTGTATCCTTTGTCAATACCTTCTGAACATTCTTACTGAATTTCAGTTCTAGGAAATCAATATTAAAGAATTTAGCTTTTAAAATCTTTCACCTCATATTGGGCAATAATGGCTATTTTAGACAATAGTTTTAAAATTTTTTGAACTGAATGAAATGAATTGCTGGTCTAATATCCTGTTGTATCCTTTGTCTATCCCTTCTGAACATTCGTACTGAATTTCAAGTTCAGCAAATCATTATTAAAGAATTTAGCTTTCAAAATCTGACACCTCATATAAGGGAAAAATTGCTACTTTGGACAATTGGTTTCAAATTTTTTGACCTGAATCAAATGAACTGTGTTGTGTTCAAACACTCAAAAAGTAGAGGTACCAACAAGTTTAAAGTTGTTTAATCTCAGAGCAGAACTACAACTAAGTAACAACAACGTGCAAGTACTCGCTCATATAATGGTCAGCGTTAGACCAGGCGTCCAGTACTTAATGTAACACACAACACTTTCCCCCCCTCTTTTATTATATTAAACAAAGGTGAATGTTTATATACATACTGTTACTCAACTCAACTGAATAATGTTAGCTCCACCACAAGTTCATTGCGTCACGCAGTTTCAATCAACCAGCTGGGAGGTCTTCTTTCATGACGTGAGTAACGTGGTTCGAACACAGCACTTGCAGTCCCCTCCTCCGGTTCGTTTGTCGTAGTTGAATCACGAGTCTGCGTCCATTCAGCATCAGAAACCGATGACTGGGGCGATGAGTCCACTGGGAAAGCGTTAGGCTCCGCTGGAAGGACTAACCTGGGATTTTGACTAACCTCAGGAACAACTTCTCGGCCTCCCGATGGTGGATTATCCATATCTGATGGGTGAAAGGCGCGAATCTGGTCGATATGTCGTTTCCACTGCATGCTGTCGACTTGGACGGTATAAGTGACCGGTCCCAGTTTGTTTAACACCACTCGTCGAATCCATGATGGCTTCTTCGGGTTCTTCCGGTTTACACACTTCTAATCTCGTTCTCACTTTTCTTCCGAGAAACAGCTCACTTGGTGTAACTTTAGTCAAACTGTGCGGTGTGGTACGGTACGATAGTACAAACGATGCCAGTTTCTGATTTAATGTACCTGATTCAGACTCCATAGTCCTCATGGCTTGTTTAAAAGTACGAACTGCACGTTCATTCTCCCCATTTGAACTTGGGTGATACTGTGCTGATCTACTATGGCGAACTCCATTGTTTTTGAAGAAGGTCTGAAATTCTTCAGCTACGAACTGCGGTCCATTGTCCGACACTAATTCTTTGGGAAGCCCAAACGATGAGAACAGGTAACGTAAGGCGTTGATGGTACTCTCGGCCGTCGTCGATTTCATCTTGACGACATCTAACCATTTGGAATGAGCATCAACCACGATCAAAAACATTTCCCCCAGAAACGGTCCGGCGTAATCGACATGGATCCTTTGCCAAGGTGATTGTGGCCAAAGCCAAGGGTTGGCTTAAGCTTTCGGACAATTTAGCAACTGCTCTTTACAGGGTTCACACGACGCAACTTTTCTCTGGATGTCAGTATCCAGGTTTGGCCACCAAACATTTAATCTCGCAAAGGCCTTCATACGCACCATGCCAGGGTGACTTCTATGTAATTCGTCCAGGATTTCTTCAAGATAACGTTCTGGGACAATCACACGAACTCCTCGGAGCAGACAATCTTCCTCGATAGAGATTTCCTCCCGCACACGATGGTAGGCTTGTAATTCGCTGTCGACCTCACTTCGCGGCAAACCACACCTGGTATATTCCGTGACCTTAGACAACCACTTGTCGTTCCTTGTAGCGCTGGCCATTCGAGTTGCGGATATTGGTAAGCCGTTGACTTGCATTTTATTCACAAGTTCTGCTTCTTGGAAGAAGACACCGTCTGACACTTCGCCGGATGCAGCGAGAGGTAAACGTGACAGCGTATCGGCATTTCCATTCTCTTCAGTTGAACGGTACTTGATGTGGAACTGGTAGGCTGATAGTTGGATCACCCATCTCTGAATACGCGATGCTGCCAAAACGGGAATTCCCTTTTTTGGACCAAGAATCAGCGTCAATGGCTTATGATCTGTCAGCAAGATAAATCGTCGTCTGTACAGGTATTGGTGAAATTTCTTAAATCCGAACACAATTGCAAGGGCTTCTTTTTCTATCATGGAGTAGTTACGCTCCGCTGAAGTGAGCGTTCTAGAGGCATACGCAATCGGTCGCTCTTCATTCGCACTATCCATCTGATGGGAAATTACTGCTCCCAATCCGTGGGCAGAAGCATCCACTGCTAAAACCAACGGCTTCTTAGGCTCGTAATGAACCAACACTTCTGACGACACAAGATGCTTCTTAACTAGTTGACAGGAATTTGCACATTCTTCCGTCCAAACCCACTCCACATTATTTACCAAAAGATCAGTCAGAGGTTGAACCATCGTCGACATGTTTGGGATAAATTTCCGGTAATAGTTCACAATACCCAACCACGATTGCAGCTTCTTCTTGTTGTTGGGATCTTCGAGCTTCAACATGGCTTCCACTTTCTTGAGTGAAGGGTGGATACCCTCTTTCTTCACCACGAAAGCAAAATATTCTACTTCGTCTTGCATGAACGAACATTTCGACTCTTTAAGTTTGATGCCAAAGTCGTCTAATCGTTGTAATGTTAACTCCAAATTCTGCCTGTGCTCTGTATCATCTTTGCCCGTGACTAAAATATCGTCAAAGATATACCCGACTCCGCCAATCTCTTGGAATATCTCATCCATAGTTTTTTGAAAAATAGCCGGGGCTGCCGCCACACCAAATGGCAATCGTGTATATCTTTATAGCCCGAGGTGCGTATTAATGGTAAGCAACTTGCATGACTCTTCATCAAGCAGTACCTGTTGATAGGCATGTGATAGATCCAGCTTTGAAAACTTTTGTCCACCATTCAATTTACTAAAAATTTCTTCAGCTGTGGGCAGTGGATACTCTGGAACGTCAAGTATCGGATTGATTGTGACCTTATAATCACCACAGATACGCACCGTGTTATCAGGCTTTAATACGGGTACAATTGGCGTAGCCCATTCTGAACTATCCACCTTTTCCAAAACTCTCTCTTTCTCTAACCGAAACAGTTCATCTGCAATTTTGTCCTTAAGTGCGAACGGTACGGGTCTTAGCTTAAAAAACTTAGGCTGGCAATTGTCCTTGACTTTCAGCGATGCTGTGATTCCTTTCACCGTCCCTAGCTTGCCATTGAACACAGAGTAAGACTTCGATAGCTCTTCCAAACTTGGAGTTTTCACCTTAGTGGTGTAGTGAATAACACTCCAATTTAATCTCAGTTTGGCAAGCCAATTTCATCTAAGCAATGGGGGCCCCTCCCCCTTAACCACTAACAGAGGTAACTTCATTCTTTGTGATTTATAGCCGACTTGCACCTCCGCTTCCCCAAGGACAGGAACTCTCTCACCAGTAAACGTTCGTAAGGTCACCGAAGAACGCTTTAATGGCATGGACTCTTTAAGTTTGCTCTCAAACAGTTTTTCAGGTATTAGGGAAACCGAAGACCCTGTGTCAAGTTCCATTTCTATGGGGTACGTATTAATGGATACTTTGACTTTTATTTCTTCTCGGCCTTCTGCTTTCATGGTGTAAATGGGCCATTCATCAGATACATTCCCTTCAGACACATCGCCAGAGTCATCAGACTCTTAGCAGCCACCTTGTTAACTCTTTAATTCTTCTTTACTACCTTTCCCACACTCAAATCATCTGATTTCTCATGCTTGCTTGTTGTATTCCGTCTTTGGATACTTTTCCTGGGGCATTTTTTTACCAGATGACCAACTTCATGACAATTATGACATCTACTCTTCTTATGAAAGCAAGCATCGGCCACATGATTTGGTTTTCCACAACGAAAGCATTCATTGGACATCTTGTTGCAACCATGATCCCTCTCAGGGCCATCACCAGCAAGCCTTTTCGCTTCTTCAGCTGCCATTTCCATGCTCAAGGCAACATCTAAGGCTTTCTTTAAAGTCAAGTCCGCCTCTGACAACAGCTTTCTCTGAATAACCAGAGATGACAACCCACATACAAAGCGATCACAGAGTGCATCATTCAAGAAGGCTCCAAATTCACAATGTTCACTTAACTTGCGCAGCCCTGTCAAATACTGGCTCACTGTTTCCGAGCTTTGCTGCTTTCGTTGGTGAAATTTAAAACGTTCTGCAATGACCAACAGTTTAGGCTTCAAATGATTATGGATCAATATTTTAAGTTCATCGTATGACTTATCCCCTGGCTTGTCCGGGCTGACCAAATTACGAATTAATCCATTTTTTTTTCCACATACCGTTAACAGAATCGCCCTTTTCTTCTCTGCTTCCTCGACTTCGTTCGCCACGAAATAATGCTCTAAACGTTCGATATATATACGAACTAATATTCCCGAACAAAGCAGCCATATTTAACAGAAGATTTCAGCCTTTTTCATATCAGGTACCTCACAATCCACAATCCCAAATCCTCGTCGCCACTGTTGTGTTCAAACACTCAAAAAGTAGAGGTACCAACAAGTTTAAAGTTGTTTAATCTCAGAACAGAACTACAACTACGTAACAACAACGTGCAAGTACTCGCTCATATAATGGTCAGCGTTAGACCACGCGTCCAGTACTTAATGTAACACACAAAAAACTGCTGGTCTAATATTCTGTTGTATGCTTTGTCAATCCCTTCTGAACATTCTTGCTCAATTTGAAATCTAGCAAATCAATATTAAAGAATTTAACTTTCAAAATCTGACACCTCATACGAGGGAAAAATTTCTATTTTGGACAATTGTTTTGAATTTTTTTTAACTCAATGAAATGAATTGATGGTGTAATATTCTGTTGTATCCTTTGTCAATCCCTTCTGAACATTCTTACTGAATTTCAAGTCTAGGAAATCAATATTAAAGAATTTAGCTTTTAAAATCTTTCACCTCATATTGGGCAATAATGGCTATTTTAGACAATGGTCTTCAAATTTTTTTAACTGAATGAAATGAACTGCTGAAGTAATATTCTGTTGTATCCTTTGCCATTCCCTTTTGAACATTCCTACGGAATTTCAAGTCTAGCAAATCAATATTAAAGAATTTAGCTTTTAAAATCTGACATCTCATATATGAGAAAAATTGCTAATTTTATACAATTGTTTCTAAATTTTTTGAACTGAATGAAATGAACTACTGGTCTAATATTCTGTTGTATCCTTTGTCAATACCTTCTGCACATTCTTACTGAATTTCAAATCTAGGAAATCAATAATAAACAATTTAGCTTTTAAAATCTTTCACCTCATATTGGGCAATAATGGCTATTTTAGACAATGGTTTTCAAATTTTTTGAACTGAATGAAATGAACTGCTGGTCTAATATTCTTTTGTATCTTTTGCCAATTTCTTCTGGACATTCTTACTGAATTTCAAGTTCAGCAAATCAATATTAAAGAATTTATATTTCAAAATCTGATATCTCATATAAGGGAAAAATTGCTATTTTAGACAATTGGTTTCAAATTTTTTGACCTGATTGAAATAAACTGCTGGTCTAATATTCTGTTGTATCCTTTGCCTATCTCTTCTGAACATTTTTACTGAATTTCGAGTTCAGCAAATCAATATTAAAGAATTTAGCTTTCAAAATCTGACACCTCATATACGGGAAAAATTGCTATTTTGGACAATTGTTTTGAATTTTTTTGAACTCAATGAAATGAATTGCTGGTCGTCACCCTCTTAGCATAATTGCTAAGTCATTTTTAAAGCTTTTGAGAAAAATAAAAATAACTGGTTTAATTCCCATACGTCAAAGATATTTTATTGAATATTTGAATACAAGCATAACACAATAATAGAAATATGACTGAGTAATTAGTAGTTGCCATAGTGACAACATAATCCGTATAAATGACTTTGCAATAACAATGGTGTGAGTTAGGCAATTTTACAGTTAACTATAGCAGACACTTTTCACCAGTTTGGCTGATGTATTGAACTACAATTTACATTTTACTGCATTTTTAAGACTTTAGCATACTTATTTACATGTTTTATTAGAAACAATTAACAAATATGTAAATGAATATGTTTAGTCAGCAATGAGGCAAATTATCAAAATAATGGTGGGAATCTTATGGAATGACTGATTTCATTGATTGCAGATCATTGTATTTTCTTAATGTGATAGGTAACTGAGCCTCAAACAGCAACTTCCACCCAAACAGTTTGGCAGGGATGGTGACACGTTGGGGGATATTCTTCCATTCGGTGTCTGCTTGGAAATCAAGTTTGTACTGAATGGAACCATTTGAGTGGTACTGCAACGCTCTGAGGTTGAAAACTGTGGGATCACCAGTTTTCTTTCCTGGCCTTATCGATTTCAAATAATCTTCAATGAACTGCATAAAATGATGATGGTAGATAGGGGTAACATGGTAGGGTGCTGGTCGTGATCGCGCTGTCTCCATGATTACATACGGGGTGTATATATGTCGACCACAGTTTTTCGTTCAAAAGTGCTATGCATGGAATCACATTCCATTTGGGTGTGCCCCACCACTAGAAATTTTTGTTCGACGACTATCTTGTATTCCATAGCAAGATGCAGGTATGTGTTGCTAAGGATTGCATTGCGATTTTGATAGCTGCAGTCATCACTCCATACCACAATCTTCTCAGTAGCAGGATTGGCCTTTAGAAACTTCGTGAAGTGTTGGTACTGAAGGTAGGCAAACACCTCTGCACTTAAATTACCCTCGTCTTCTTTCCAGGGATGGCAGTAGCCTTCCTTGTTGGCAAGGTTGAAAAAGGTGTAGTTATGTACTTGCAGTTTTGTTTTATAATACATGGCACTTGCTTTGGTCTTGGGGCAAAGGAGCACTGCTTGGACATCCACTGTCTAAACCGACACTTTGTCATTAGCTGCCTGCTTCTCATTTGACTTCTCGGCACGTGCTTCATCCTTAGCAATGATGTGGGCAGTGTAGGTATCTTGGTTGATATTCCCATGCTTGGCTGCAGTGCAGATATCACACTGGTCTTTTTTTCGGATGAACACTGAGTATTTCTCTTCCTCAAACAATTTGCTGAAGAATGTTTCCCCAACAACTCGTACACCAGCCTCACTAGCTGACTTGCGGTATTCTTGGTACAGATGGGTCTTCATTGTACCTGGCTCCAGAAATTTTTTCTTCTGATACGTAGGAGTATTTCTGCAATAATGGGATGGTACAGTTGGAACACCTGAAAGCCAGTTTTTTAGGTAAGCTGTATGAACTTGTGCCACAGGAACATGTTTGCCTGAAAGAGAAATATTTAAAATAATAGGAATTATTTGCAACATGCCTAATCGGGTAGCAATATGCCTGACAAAATACATGTAACCATGGACATTATATATTTAGTGATGTAACAAACGGTTACTTAGCTTACTTCAGGGTGTAGAATTATCCAATAATAAAACTAGAGTTACCTGTTTTGTTAATCTTTAGCTGTCGATCATCGGTATTTACATGTCTATCAGCGTTAATCCACGAGCCATTGGTTCTTTGAGAAGAGCTAGCGTGCAAGCAAAAAGGGATTTGCACACTGGAACTTTAGTTCCATCGATGAGTTTCAAATTGTACAAAAGTGAAGTGTTCCGTCAGGATGTTTCTCCGCCTTTCTTTTGTTTCACATCAACCTATTAGAAGAGTAAAGAAAAACAAGAACCTGGATTTAGTTATATGCCAAGACAACAATTGAGTACATAGAATGACCAAACTTTCTCGAAAAATATACCTTGTCAACAAGAGCACAAACATATGTCTGACGCTCTTCCCAGGAATTCATGGCCCAGAACATTGCAAATATTTCTTTTCTGTGCTCCTCACTCAATGACTGACAGCTACGCAAACTTGACTTTTCACAGAACTTCGATTGGCATGGTGGACCCATTACCTTCGCCTCTCTCTCCTGTCCCCTTACACTCTTGTAACTTTCACCTTTGAGACGTTTAGTCTTCGTAACTTGGCGCTTCCACTCCATTGGGGTACCTTGCTTGCGACATTGTCGTTTCTTTGGGCTATTTGCTGATAATTCATCATCAGATATGGACTGAGAAGACTGATCAGATAGAGAAGGGTCTTGTTGAGAATGGCCAGGTAGAGAAGGGTCCAATTGAGAAAGGCTGGGTAAACCAGTTCAGGAATGTTTGGATAATCTGCAATACTCGTTGCATCAGGCGATGGCCGCCATTCAGAGTCTTCAGTATCATCTAGCAAGAAATCGCTGTCTTAGCACATAATTACGTATATGTAAATATCAAAACGTTTCATCAGCTACAACAGTTTTACTTGTTTTGCAGGTTAATCACAGAATCTTGTGTGTATCTCCCTTTATCATACAATACATATCCACAAAAACTAGATTGTTATATACAATTAACACAGCACACACAGACCCCTCATCCCCTGACTCTGAGTACTGTTGAAGACTTGAAGTATCAATTTAGTATTGAATTAAGTATATCTCTCTGACTCTCTAATCTCTCTA